GCCCCCCCTGCCATAGCTTCCAGGAGAAGCCCTGCAGAGGGAGCTTCAGCCCCGGCCAGGAGCTCCGAGCGGTGGGAGATCCACTCCTGCAGCCTCCTGGCTTGGAAATCCACCCCGGCAGCCTCCCACCTCCCACGCCCGACGGAGACCCGGGGCGGGCGAAGGCTGGCTCTAGCCCGGTGCCCACGGGAGGGACAGCCCCGGCAAGAAGCCCCAGCTCCGGGGCCTCTGGGACATGGCGTGTCTGCACAAAGGGGTCACCCCACACAGAGCATCGGCCTCCAGCTCCCATGGGTGCCTCCACTTCATCTGGTGGCGCAGTATGGCTTCTGGGGGGTACGTGCTAACGAGGGACTGTAAGAACATCCCTTAAAATGGTCACAGCCCGATGCACATCTCGCCCTGCCCCTCTGGGTGCCCGCTGTTTAATTAGACACCTCCATCACAACGGCACCCAGATATACCCATTTTGAGCAGGGTGCTGGGGCTGGTTTCAGTCTCTCATTCGCCAGCAGGACACATCGAGCAGCTGACAAAGCCACCAGGCTGAGGTTGAGCAGGAACTGCATCTCCAGCCCTGCCGCACGACGCAGTCCCACCCCGCGAAGCTCAGAGGGGGGCAGCACGGCGACCCCCTTCATCTGTCCATATTTTACCCCTTTGGGGGCCTTACTCCAGCAAATGCTGCCGGGGTGGAAGGGCTTTCCCAGGTGTTTGAAGGGTTGAGTAAGCACACGTGGGATTATCCCACCCTAGAGCTGAGCCCGCTTTCTTCTGGGGCACTGCAGCAGAAGAGCCAAGCGGAAAGCAGCATGGGATGCTCAGGATCGCTGCCGAGGTCCTCAGTGGAAACCCCCCTGCCGAACCCTGCCCTGGTGGGAGGCTGGCCATCTCATGTCAGGATTAGGCGGGGAGGGATCAAACCCCAGAAATATGGGGCAGGAGCCTAAAAGTGCTTCGGATCGGGGAGAGGCAGCACCTCAGGGGTACAAGAGGACACCCTGGGGCTGCTGGGGAGTACGGGAGGGAGCGAAGGGCAACAGGGGACTGCAGGCGAGTCCCGGGGCTTCCTCTGGTCCCAAGAGGTGGGAGCTGATCCCAGAGGCTGTCATCTTCTGGCAGCCCTTCCTCAGCCAAAAGAGCAGACCAATTTCAGGGAAGTTGAAAGAAATTCAACCTGGGCGTTATCAGATGGCATCAGAATGCGCCCTGCCAAACCATCAGCATGAAGGCAGGAGGAACCACAGGAGACCTGCGAGATGGCTCCTTCCACGAGTCCCCAGCAGAAAGCTCAGCATTTTAAACCCAAAAAACAGCTACAGTAAAACCCTGACTCCGTTCCTTGCAGCTGGGCTAAGCAGACCACCAAAGCCCAGCAAACCGCAGACGCGGGCACAATGGTGGGATGCAAGCTTTCACAGGAAAGAGCTTCTTCCTCTTATTTTGGTGTAAGTTGCGGCCAGGGAGGTACCTGAGAGCGACTCAGTGATACTTGCTGTGCTAAAGCAGCACCCAGTGACAAGAGATGCCTGCTCCACACCATGGGACTTGCATATCCCACCAGGCGAAGAAGATAGAGGCAGGGGGTAAATTCGGGACCAGCCCTGCCAAAGCAGCTCCCTGGGACCTGCAAATGCACGGAGCGACACCCCGCTGTGCTGCGGGGCGTGAGGCCAGGCGGGCTGGCCATCTAGTATGCATGTGCCTATTATACACACATATGCATGTGGATGAACGCACATCACATGCACATTTCTGTGCATGTACAAAACCAGGCGATGCCATTAATTAACCCAATCTGACACACTAATTGCCTCCTGCCAGGAGCACTTGCGTTACACAGGAACCACATCCAGCCTCTGCAGTGCTGCCCTGCGAGCGCGACAGGCATCAGCCGGCTCCACCACAAAAACTGAGCAGCAGCAGAGGAGAGATCAGCTTTGCTCATCCTCAAGTGAAGAATATCTTGGGTTTTGGTGGCATTATTGGCCTACACAGTCTGGAGAGGAGCAACTGCTGAAAGCACAGGCTGCTTATCCCTAGCAGGGCTGCCTGGCTGGGCGTAACATTGCAGGCACTACGATGGCCAGATGTGACGTGAATGTGACAGATTTAGGTCCTGATTTTGCAGCCACTCTGGGGCTGCTGATATTTTATGGGGAGTCTCAAATATTTGGGAGAGGGAAGAAAGGAGGAAAGATATTAAAACAAGGCTGTGAGGTGGCATCCACTGCAAACTCGCCTGGGTCTGCTCTGCATGGACACCAGCCCGTGGAGACCAGACCCACGGGGCAGCGCAGTGACTGTCCCTGTTCTTCACAGCGGCCCCACCAGCTGGGACCCCTCTGAGAGCCTCCAGGAGGGCTGGGACCCCCTCACTGCCCCGACCTCAGCGTCCTGCAAATGACACCCCCCCCAGACCCGTGAGTCCTCTTCTTTCATGGCTCCCTTCAGAAGCCCAAGGGCACCAAAGCAAGGGGATTTATTTCAATACAAACATGCAGATTTACATTTTATAAAGTACAAGACAGGCAGAGAAACAACCGGCTCCTCAGTTCTACAATGCAGTTTGCTCCCCTTTTGTGAGTCCTTAGCTCAAGTCTCGTCACCTTTCATCGCTCCGTTCACCCCGTCTCCTTCTCCGAGGAGCCTGCCTTAAAAACGCCTCTGCCCCTACATCTATTTGCAAGCAGAGGAACAGCAATTCCTTCCATTTGCATCTCGTTATTCAGAAGACATGGGCTTCAGCCTTCCTGCTTGGAAGGACAGGACAAACACGCTCAAAGCTGGTTGTGTATCCCATACCCCCACCCCTCCCACACACCCCCAGCAACCCCCAGCTCAGTTAGAGCCTGGTGTGCCACAGACCGGCTCTGGGCAGCATCGATGGCCCAGGTCCACAACCAACCCTTCGTGTCACCTCCGCGCTCTCACCTTGCCATCTTCATGATAGACAAAGATGTTCCTTGTGCTATTGTCCTTCAAGTAAGTGATCTGCAGTCCGTGTGGGTTCCCGATTTTTGCAGGCTGGAAAGTCGCATTTAGATGTTCAATCTTCATAATTGCTTTGGGTTCTTTTGCCTGGAAAACACAGCTGAGTGAGCAAACACCTGAGAATTGACTTTCAAATCAGAAAGCAGTTCACTTGGTCAGAAAAAACTCCTGATTGAGGCCATTAGCTAAAAAAAAATTACTGCCAGCCCACAAAACTGCCTGGTGATGAGACATCAGAAACTTTGCTCGGGCAGCAATGAGTGTTTTCTGCCAGCCTGGAAGAACACTCTGCTCTTCTGCAAAATTCAGCAGAGTTCATGGGGAGACAGGTTTCAGCCCAAAAGCAAGAAGGACAGGGCAGGTCTCATGATAGGACGTGGTGCTATGAACATAAACATCTTCACCCTGCCTCCTGCCCCAGCCTCTGTTCCACTGTCCCCTGACTCCTACATCAGCCTCTTTACCCAATGACAAGTGACCAGCATTTACACCGGGATGAGCACTATCAAAGAAGAAAGAAAACAATTCAGCAAGACAAAAAAAAAAATCCACAGACTGCCAACTAACTGGCCAGGATGCTTTCTGCATCTCAAGCACTCACAGCCAGTTCATCCTTGCCCAAGAAGATGGAGGATTATCCCCCTCGCCAGTGTCAGACCTGGGTGCTAGGCTGGCAGGAGGCACCACGCTCATGGCACCACCAGTCCCATCCTCTCACTTGGGCCATTGGCTTCTGACTCTGCTCCTCCGTTTGCCCTCCAAACTGGGAACTTTCTTTCCAAAGGGACAAATGTATACCTTACGGCCCCCCTCTCGGGAGGGTTAGCCCAACGATGAGCCTTGTTCAGGCCCTCCCAGGCACTGATCCCACCTGCACCCTCTGTGGCAGGTCACTTGAACTCTGTAGCATGGTTTGTCCTCCTACAAAACATCTCCAGAAGTTCACCACCCTATCAGGACTGCACTGAGAAGTGAAGTAGCAAGTGTGAATAAAACACTACAAAAAATAAACATTATGCTCTTGGTAAGACCAGTTTTAGGGCACAGGCAGGGGCCAGCAGCAGGTTGTGTGGTGGTTCCATGGTCCCCAGCACCACATGGAAGTCCCTGAGCTGGCAGAGATGCTAGCACTGCTCCGGGAACTTGGGGACTTGCCGCAGAGACACGGCTACCACGGGTGACCACGGCGGGGAAATCCCAGCAAAGAGGACGCGTCGAGACAGCGCCGTTCCCACCACAGCTATGGTCAACAATGAAGCAAAGCAGCTTTACACTACTGGAGCAGTCAATAGTGACTGAATGGGGCTGCTGGGACTTTCACTTCTCCCTCGGTAATGACTGGCTCTCTCCTGTCCACAAGAGGCAATTGCACCATACCACACCAAGCTGAAGGAGAAGCTTGAAGGAGGTGCTATCAAAGCTGGCCACCAGGCATGGAGAAGTGTGGATGGATGTTCCCCTCCTCTGCACAGTGTGGCTCATCATGACACCACGATTGCATCAACTACTTGAGAAAACTGGCTGGAGGCTCCGTCCAGGCTGCTCTCAGATGCAACATCCCGGGGAGACTCAAAGGTCAGAGCAAACACTTTGGCTTCCTCCGTTACGTGGTGCAGAATAGTAAAGCGTCTATCCATTCATCACAAACGCAATTTTCACGGTAATAGCTCTATTTCTCTCTTACAATAAATGAAACGTGCTCTGGGGAAAAAGACAAATGATTCCACCTCTTGACGCTGGAACAGAAAACCAGGGGACTTTTCCTCTGGATTACTTGCCGTGCTGTGCAAAGGAGGTTTCATACCCTAGTGATCACTGTGAGGTGGTGATACCTTCATCACAAGCTAGCCACAAATATGAAACCCACGTCAGCTGGATGATGTAGAGCCAGAGCTGAGAAAAAGTCCTTCCATGGCAGTTTACGAAAAGGCTTATTGATTTCACCATGACAGTGGTGGTGGACCAAAGAGGAAACCCTACTAAAAACACTGGTAAGCTGTACCTGGCACCCTCGTCCTGGAGCGATCAAGGACTCCACACTTATGAAACTGTAAAACTATTAATCAAATGGTGGCCTAGGAATTACTTGTTCAAAGGTGCTCTTGCAGTTGCTATCCCCCATCCACATACAGCAATCCCAGGTACTCACGTCATTTTTGTTGAAATACTTCAGCGCGCCTTCTCTCTCCGATAACACAAATTTTCGGCTTAAGAATTGTCCGTTGTCACGTCCTCTCTTCCACAGAAATCCTTCTCGGTACCCTGCAGCAGAAAGCAATTGCTGAGAACCAGGGATAAAACAGAATCACAGAATGGCAGGGGTTGAAAGGCCCCTCTGGAGCCCATCTAGCCCAACTTCCCCTGCCGAAGCAGGGTCCCCTAGAGCAGGCTGCACAGGACCTTGTCCAGGTGGGTCTTGAATATCTCCAGAGAAAGAGAATCTACAGCCCCTCTGGACAGCCTGTTCCAGTGCTCCATCACTCTCAAAGTAAAGTTCTTCCTGATGTTCAGATGGAACTACTTCCAAAACACTGTCTTTAAAAAAAGAGTTAGGGTAAAGAAAAGGAGAAGAGCTTCGACTTCAAAACCAAGCAGACCAAACGTGTGGCTGGATTGCTCCAGACAGGAATGAAACAGGCTTTCTCCTTCAGATTTGCCTTTCTCGCTCTGCTCTTGCTCTTTTCCAGCAGCTTGGGCTTCAGATGCCCCTGCTCTGACACCATGATGTGGTGGGGAAAGGGGGATTTCTGCTCTGCCTCCCGTGCTGCAATACAGGCGAAGGCTTGAGGAGCAAGGCTGTGTCCCAGCCACAGCTCCCGGCGCCAGGGACGCTGCTCATCTGTTCACATTGCTAAAAAATGAAAAACGGGGTGCGTGCATGTGGGGAAAGTGGTTCAGGGCAGATGGCTGTATCAGACTAAGCCACAAAAACATTCTTCACATGGAAAAAAGGGAAAAAGCTTGCAGTTCTTCCTGCTG